CAATTTTCACAATTTTACATGCCTGAACGAGGAGAGGGCGTGTCACCGCCATAAAAAGTTTCTCCCCTGCTCGTACAGCTCCTGATACTCCCTGCTCCTTGCCCTCTCCAGTTCCTCTCTCAACGCTTCTTCGTCTGTGTCCTCTCCTGCTCGTTCTAGTCGTCGTTGGTATGGGTCATCACTGTCCTCCTCGTCCTCCTCGTCACCCTCGTCCCTGCTGTCCCCTTCCTCGAGGAGGGAACTGACGGGCGGGTCGTAAATGGATGGCATGACTGGACGAAGGGTCATTGGGGACCCTTCCATTGACCTGAGTACTGGGCCTGGCAGCCTCTCAGTCGTCGGTTCGGATGCTGGCTATAGCGCATTCCTCCTCATGCTCTCGTCTCCTCCAGTTCTCAGCTATAGCTGCTGAAGTTTCGCTGAAACTCGGGATTGAGGAACTGTCGAGTGACCCTGCTGCCCAGGAATCGCTGGAGAGCCCGGTCGGAGACGTGGGCATTGTCGGGTACTCGGAGCCTGTAGGCTCCAAGTACGGAGTCGGTGTTTGAGGAGATGGTATCGGTGCGGGTGGGATATTCGAGGATGACGGGTCGGGGTTCCGCTGCCCTTCCTCGTCTAATGGCCTCGTCCCAGCTGACGATGCTGGCGGGTCCTGTCCATGGGTCATCTTCTGAGTCAGGCTCCCTGAAGGGAGATCCTTCCTCGGTACGGGGTGCATACTCTCTGGGGGAGGCTGACCCCATTCTTTCGATCTCCTCCCTTCTTCTTTGGGCTCTCCCTTGTCTGTCATATTCTGCGGCTTCGTACTGCTCTCGGGCCTCTTCTCGGACGAAATCAGCGAGCTCTTCCTGGGTTCGCCTAATCTCCTTCTGCCGGGCTTGGTTCTGCTGCTGCTGCTGTACTGCCTCATTGTAATCAAAGGGGACCGTGAGGTCCCAATCTGGGAATATGCAGTGAATAATTCTGTCCCGGTGAAGAGAACCTGAGTGCGCGCAAGGTGAAAATGGATACAGCAGAGCGTTATCCACTGACCACACTCACACCAACACACACACAAAACTCTTAGTTCGTGGGGGGATTATAATGCGATAAAGTAGTAT